ATGTGCATTTCTATACACCAGCAACAAGCAGGTAAAAAAATAAATGAATAAAAAACACAATGTCATTCACAATGGCCACCTAACTAGAGAAGTGAAAGACCTTCATAATGAGAAATACAAAATGCTGCTCAAAGAAATCAAGTATGACACAAACAAATGGAAACTTCAATATTGTTAAGATGTGCATCCTACATGACAATCTACAGATTCAATGCAAAACCCATCAAATTACCAACATCAGTTTTTACAGACCAGGAAACAACAATCCAGAAATTCAGATGGAAACAAAAAAGAGCATGAACAGCCAAAGCAATCCTCAGCAACAGGAACAAAGTGGGAGGTATCACACTTACAGACTTTAAACTTTTTTCCAAGCCTACAGTACCAAGATGGCATGGTATTTGTACAGAAATAGGCATACAGACCAATGGAAAAGGGCAGAGATTCCAGAAATAAAAACAGTTTCTCAACCCATTCATCTTTGATAAAGCCACCAATAACAATCATTGGAAAAAGGAGACCATATTTAGCAAATGGTGCTGGGAAAACTGGCTAACCAAAAGCAGAAGAATGAAACTGAATCCCTACCCATATACAAAAAAGAACTCAAAATGGATCAAAGTCTAAATGTAAAACCTCAAATAATAAGAATCCTAGAAGAAAACATAGTAAACACCCTTATGCACATCAGAGTAGGCAACAAATTCTTGACCAAGTCACCCAAAGCGAATGCCATAAAAGCTAAGATAGACAAGTGGCACCTCATCAAACTGAAAAGTTTTTGTACAACAAAAAAAACCATCAAGAGAGTAAAGAGACAACCCACAGAATGGGGGGAAATGTTTGCAAATTATGCATCTGACAGAGGCCTGACATCTAGTATCTATAAGGAACTCAAAAAAGTGAAAGAAAAAACAGCGCCTTTAAAAGGTGGGCAAAGGACATGAACAGACACTTATCAAAAGATGACATACAAGCCAACAGAAACATGAAAAAAATATTAAACCTCACTAATAATCAGAAAAATGCAAATCAAGACTACAATGAGGTACCACCTAACTCTAGTAAGGACAACTATCATAAATAAGTCAAAAAAACCCAACAGGGGCTGGCACAGTTGTGGAGAAAAGAGAACACTTCTGTACTGTTGATAGAAATGCAAACTAGTTCAAACTCAGTGGAAAACAATGTGATGATTCCTAAAAGAACTAAAAATTGATCTTCCATATAATCCAGCAATCCTTCTCCTGGGAATATACCGAGAGGAACATAAATTGCTCTACCAAAAACACACTTGCACACGCATGTTTGCTGCTGCACTATTCACAATAGCAAAAACATGGAACCAACTCCGCTGCCCATCAAAAATGAACTGGATACAGAAAATGTGGTACATATACATGATGGAGTATTATGCTATGCAGCCATGAAGAACAAAATCATGGACTTAGCAGTAACTTGGATGGAGTTGGAGACCATCACACTAAGTGAATTATCACAGAAACAAAGAACTTAATACCGCAAGTTCTCTCTCATAAGTTCAGTGGGCCCTGAACACTAGTCACATGAGCACAAGGGTGGGATCAGCAGTCACTGGGCACTACTAGGGGAGGAAGGGAAGGAGGGAGGGAGGAGGGTTGGGGGCACAAGACAACACAAACGATACCTGATCCACTGCTGGGAGAGTGAGAGTTAGTTAGAAGCCCAAATTTCACCAACTTGCAGCCTACTTATGTAGGTATATAGTAAATCCTTGCTTGTACCCCACTACACTATAATTTTTCAAAATTGAGTTTAAAAAAAGAACAAACCAAGCCCAAAATTAGCAGAAGGAAAGAAATAATAAAGATCAAAGCAGAACTAAACCAAATAGACACTTTTAAAAAATACAAAGATCAACAAAATGAAAAGCTGGCAACTCAAAAAGATAAACAAAATTCATTAACCACTAGCTAAACTCATCAAGAAGAGAGAAGACCCAGGTAAATAAAATCAGAAATGAAAAAAAGACATGTTGCAAGTGATACCATAGTAATTGCAAAAGAAGACCATCAGAGGCTATTACAAACAAACTGAGAAAACCTGGAGGAAATAGATAACTTCCTGAAAATATACATCCTACCGAGATTGAGTGAGTAAGAAACAGAAAACCTGAACAGATTGATACTTCAAGTAGTGAGATTGAATCAGTAATAAAAAGTCTCCTAACCAAGAAAAGTCCAGGACCAGATGGATTCACTGCCGAATTCTACCAAATGTATAAAGAAAACTAATACAAGTGCTCCTCAAACTGTTCCAAAAAATTGAAGAGGATGAAATTCTACCTAACTCACTCTACGAGGCTAGCATTACCCTGATACCAAAACCATACAAGAACACAACAACAAAAAAGAAAACTACAGGCCAATATCCCTGAAGAATATAGATGCAAAAATCCTCAACAAAATACCAGTAAACTCAGTCCAATAGCACATCATAAAGAGAATACACCTGATCAAGTGGAATTTATACCAGGGGATGTTTCAACACATATACAAATTAATAAATATGATACATTTTCTATTTTTTTCTTTGTTGCTTATGCTTTTGAGGGCTTAGCCATGAAATCATTGCCTAGACCAATGTCCTGAGGAGTTTTTTTAATGTTTTCTTCCAGTAATTTTATATTTTCAGGTCCTACATTTAAGTCTTTAATCCATCTTGAGTTGATTTTTGTATATGGTAAGTGACGGGTTCCACTTTCATACTTCTGCATAATGACCATACTACCCAAAGTAATCTACAGATTTAATGCGATTCCTATCAAAATACCAATGTCATTTTTCAAAGAAATAGGAAAAAAAATCCTAAAACTTGTGTGGAACAAAAAAGAGCCAGAATAATCAAAGCATTCCTGAGCAAAAAGAATAAAGCTGTCACGCTACCTAATTTCAAAATATATGAGGTCCACAGTATCCAGAACAGCATGGCATCAGTATAAAAATATACACATTGACAAATGGAACAGAATAGAGAACCCAGAAATAAATCCACATATTTACAGCCAACAGATCTTCAACAAAACTGTCAAAAACATACACTGGGGAAAGAATACGCTCTTCAGTAAATGATGCTGGGAAAACCGGGTAACCATATGCAGAGGTATGAAACTGGACCTGTAGCTGGAGAAAGGACAAATAGAAAGGATTAACGATAACAGATCTGACTGACTCAGGTCATTTTGCGGGGTGGATGTTGCTGAATTTCTTGGACTAAGGAACTCAAGGACAAAAGGAATTCCTAGGGTTGAACTTGGAGTATCACTGGTCGCAACTGTGAGGCAATTCTTCTTGATGGTCAATGCCCAGCTGAAGACAGGCAGAGAAAATATTCAGAATTCCATCCTTTTTCCTATATTCTCTTAAAAGGGAATGTTTGCTTTACCTCCTTGCTCCTTCTGCCTCACAGTGAAGAAACATCATGATATACTACAAACTAATATTTTGTAGTAAGACCCAGCTACCCATGAGGCCCAATGGGACACAGACGTAAAGAACACTCAGGGCACAAAGCTCATGATGTGGAGTTGGGCAGAATCTTAACTCACCTGATATTAATTCAAATCTTGGCCATGATGCCTATGCAATGCATGGTTCAGCTCATGTTTCTTCACCTCTCTGAGCATCTCATCTTTCTCATCTCAAAAATGGAGACAATAATGATAGTATCTACCTCATGGAGTTCTTGGGAGGAGAAAATGTGATGGTGTTTCTTTTTTTTAAATCATATTTTTTATTTTAAAATTGCGGGGTACAGTTAAGGGTTAGGTATACAAATATGCATCATTCAGGCACCCTTGTGGATAAGCGGTGTCTCCCCGTCCCCAGACAGATTTTGACTACCGTTAATCCCACCATGATGGTGTTTCTAATGCAGGCATCAAAGAACTTCTGTGAGAGGCCTTGGCCCTCTTCCTCTGAACCCCCTCCGAGGTCCAACTCAACAGTTCAATCTACCCTTAAAATAGATCACTTCACAACACATTAAGAAGAACTACAGTTTGTCAAACAATTCACAGGAGGTAGGGAGAGTATTTACACTGAACACCACAACACACAAACCTACATCTCTGAGAGTAAAAGAGCCAGGGTTTCTGAAACAGATTGTGAAGGTTTGAATCAAGCATCTAGCACATTCTTACTGGGTGATATGTTAGTCTGCTAGAGCTGCCCTAAGTACCACAGACTGGGTGGCTTAAACACTGTAAGTGTATTTTCTCACAATTCTGGAGGCTAGATGTCCTAGATCAAGATGTCAGCAGGGTTGGTTCCTCCTGAGGCCTCTCTTCTTGACTTGTAGATGGCTGCCTTCTCCCTGAGTCTTCACACGGTCTTCCCTCTGTGCATGTCTGTGTCCACACTTCTTCTTCTTCTTCTCCCTCTCCCTCTCCTTCTTTTTTAGAAAGCAGGATTTATTGAGAGGACAGAAAAGTTCCCACAGTGGGAGGGGACCCGAAGAGGCTGCCCCACATTCCTTCTTCTTATGAGTCATATTGTTTTAGGTCCCACCCTAATGACCTCATTTTAACTTAATTACCTCTTTAAAGACCCTGTCTCCAAATACAGTCCCATTCTAAGGTACTGGGGGTTTGAACTGCAACATGTATATTTGGGGGACACAATTCAACCCCTAACAGATGATCCCGAGAAGTTACTAACATTTCTGGGCCCCCAGTCTCCTCTGTCATAAAATGAGAATGATGCTGTTTCCCTCCTAGGAGTGCTGTGAAGAATAAATGGTGAGTGCTGAAGTGTCATCTATTACTTGTAGGTTTTCCACTTCCATCTGTTCTCTCTCTGCAGACAGACACCCCAACTCTTCTGCCCCTTGCCTCTCTAACTGCACCCCTCCCTTGTCCCGAGCCATCGTTCTTGCCTAGACGTTAAATGATTTGATTGTTTTAAGCTTGCCTTTTAGAGCTCCAAGTCCTGCCAGTCCCATGCAAGACCTTTCTGTTGCAGGAGTCTCCGAGCAGAGCGACGGGAATGGGTGGCAATTGCTACAGCCTGAGGGCCCCCTACTGGTGGCCGAAGGTGAGACGCTCCTACTGAGGTGTACGGTGGTCCGCTCCTGCCTTGATGACATGATTAAATGGGTCAAGAGGAGCACTCAGGGCCAGCAAGAAATGTATAACTTCAAGCACGGCTTCTTCCCTGGGGTGACGCCCATGACCCAATGGGCATCAGAGCCACTGAACTGCGATTATTCCATCTATATCCACAATGTCACCAGGGAGCATGCTGGAACCTACCACTGTTTGAGTGAGCACTCGGAGGAGTCACCGGATGAAGGCACCGCAGTGCTTGTGAAGGGTGAGTCTCAGGCCCCGCAAGTTACACAGTCACTCTGGTCTGTCTCCCCGAAGTCACCTGTATCCACCATCCCTCTGTGTCACACAAAATCTCAGTGGCACAGGACACTCTGTATTTCTATCTCACGCACTCATTTATGTGAGACAGGGGTGGGTCCACTCCTTGTGTTTCGTGCTGGGGCCTGGGCCAGAGAGGTAGCAGCCACATGGGGCATGTTTTTCTCAGGGAGATGGCAGGAGCACAGAGGGTCAGTCCAACTCCCCAAGCACGTTTCAAGCCTCTACTCACATCATGTCTGCTAACAGCCCTGGCTAAAACAAGTCACTTGGCTCAGCTCCAAGTCGAGGACAAGGATGTGCCCTCTTCCACCATGAGGCCACAGTAAGAGTGTGGATGTCCCAAATTACGAGAGTAGAGTCAAGGCCTGGGGCTGGTAAGGTAATCAACCCCAGTAACCAGTCATGGCATCTGTAAATCCATCAGTGGTGTCCTGGATACCCAAATCCTGTGCCTGTCAGTCAAGAGCACTGTTGTTCACAATCAGTCATTGTGGCTCTAGACACCGCAAGTGCTGAACTTGTAAAATGGTCAACAGAATTCTTACTTCAAGGGTCATTCGGGTGATTAAATCAAATGGATTCTTGTGAAACCACCCTGTAATTGGTGACAGGGAGAGTATGAGGGGGAGTCCTTTTACCTTGGTGCCAGCATTTCAGAAAGGCTTTGCTGGCTCCTTCCAAGCTGTGATGGTGCCATCTCTGTAGTCCTGTGGTCCTCTGGGTTTCCAGCCTCTGGATTATTTTTTCTACCATCTCCACCAGAAGACTGAGGGTGGTTTCAGGGCAGGGCACGTGTGTATCTTGTTGAGATTCACTTCGTCCTAGCCTTGGGACCTGGTTGGTACTCTGAGTCTCCTTACTGAATGAATCAACTAGTGAGGAAGGAAAGAAAGTGGGAGGGATTGGCTAGTGAAGAAATCAGGGAAGGGTGTTGGAGGATGAGGGAGGAAATTAATGAATGATAGAAGAAGAGAGGGAACACAGTGAGGACCCTTTCTTTGGCTTCAGGTGCTGAGGACCCCGAACCAGACCTCTGGATCATCCAGCCACAGGAGTTGGTCTTGGTGACCACTGGAGACACTGTCTTCCTGAACTGCACAGTACTCGGAGATGGTCCCCCTGGGCCCATTCGGTGGTTCCGGGGGTCTGGTCTGAGCAGGCAGGCCATTTACAACTTTGGAGGCATCTCCCAACCCAATGTGACAGCAGTGCAGGCCTCCAACAACGACTTCAGCATTCTTCTAAGGGGTGTCTCCATTGAGGATGCTGGGACCTATTACTGTGTGAAGTTTCACAGGAAACTCAACAGGCAGTACCTGTCCGGACAGGGCACCGCGCTGAGAGTGAAAGGTGAGACAGGTTGTCTAGAGGTGCTGGTGGAGAGGACCTTTATACCATGCCCCAAATAAGCTAGCTCTTCTCAGCCTCCATGTCTTTACATAAACTGTTCCCTCTACCTGGAATCCGTTCACCTTTTCTCTGAGAACTCCTACTCATCCTTCAAGGTTCAACACAAATGACTCCTCTGTAGAACTTTCTCCTCCTCCCAGGCAGAGTTAGTATCTCCCTATTCTGGACTTCACAGAACTTTGTATAGACCATTAATAATTCAACAAGCATCTGTTGCATGTCTGTTGAGTGTCCTGTAGTACTGTACTAGGTGCTGGAGACACCGTAATGAACCAGACATCCATATCCAGGGATGTTCTAGCAGAAAATCTAATTTCATCCTTCACAGATGCATGGTTTGACTTCCAGCCCCCACCCAGGTAGAAACTGGCAGACTCGTCTCAGTGACTCAGTACAGGGGCTCAGGAGGTGGCAGGAGAGAAAGGTGAGGGGAGTGTGAGAAAGTCTCTCTCCCTTGCAGCAAAACCTACCTCTCCTCAGGAGGCAGAATTCACCAGTGAAAACACAGCTGGGATACCTCCAACAGGTGAGTGTACCTGCCCTCAGTGGAGTTCATGAGTCTCCCACAGACAAGGAGTGGGAGGAACATGGATGGCTTGGTCATGGGAAGGAAGCGGTCCCAGGCTTCTGGGGCTCATCTGCCACCAAAAATGTTCCCAGGACCCCATCTCAACTAAAGAAATGGAAACTCAGAGAGCCGTGTTATAAGAGCTCAATCACAAAATGGCTTCCTAACAGCCAGAGCCAGCTAACTGTTCAGTGGGAAGTTTTGCCTGAGAGGTAGTGAGCTCCCCATGATTCAGAGTTCAGGGCCATATGGAGAGACATGCATGGCAGCCCTGCAGAACATGGCCCTGTGACCAGGCCTCCTGGGGGGATCCCTTTCCAGCAGTGTGATCATGGGCGGGTTGCCTCACTCCTTGAGTGTCTGGTATCTGACTAGAGGGGAGAGGGATAGGAATCAGAGAGCCTCCCTCATGTGGTTGCATGTGGATCTGTGAGGTCATATGGGCCAGGTGTCTAGAATTGTGCCTGACACATCACCTGTTAACCCTGGGGGCTCCATGACTGGCAGCAGCTTGTGGCAGAGGTGGTCAGATTAGCTTTCCTGATGCTCAGCCCTGTTCCTGCCATTCATGGGAGCTAGAACACCTAGGTTCCATCACTTCTTGACATGTGTGGCCTGAGGAAATCACTTCTCCACTCAAAGTCTGTCTGCTCATCTATAAAAACTGAATCACAGCCAGACACAGTGGCTTACATCTGTAATCCCAGCACTTTGGGAGGTGGAGGTGAGAGGACTGCCTGAGCCCAGGAGTTCCAGACCAGCCTGGGCAACTTGGCAAGATCTCATCTCTACAATAAACAAAAAAATTAGTCAGGTGCAGTGGCATGCATCTGTGGTTCCAACTACTTGGAAGGCTGAGGCAGAAAGGTCGCCTAAGCTCAGCAGGTCGAGGTTGCAATGGCCAATGTGCCACTGCACTCAAGCCTGGGTGACAAAGTGCGACTCTGACTCAAAAAAAAAAACAAAACAAAACTGGATCATTGTCCTACCGTGTAGGTTTCCTTGGAGGATTATATTAGGCACTTGGAAAGATTGGCTCAGGGTCTGAGGCAGGTGAGCTGAGTAGCTGATAAATGAAAGCAATTTCCTATTGTTTCCAGAGATTAGGTGTGCTGGTGGCATGATTACAGGTCCAAGTAGGTACTGGGCAAGGTTTCTTTGGACCCAGGATAGAGGAGGGGTGCTCCTTGACTTCCTCTTCCAATGTAGAAAGAATGTAGCTCAGAGGTTACAGTGGCTAGATGTGACCTTTCTCACGGGCAGCACTGCAGTGTGGACTATAGGGTACTCACCTGGGGGTCTTCTCTGAGCTCTCTGCTGTGTCCCCCAGGCCTCCTGTCTGTGCTCACACCTGTGGTCCTGGGGCTGAAGGCAGTGACCTTGGCTGCACTCCTACTGGTCCTGGCTGCCTGCTGGAGAAGCTCTGGGCAAGAAGACTTCAAGACCCCAGGCTCAGCATGGGACAAGGGTCAAGAGTAAGGGATCAGCCTCAGAGTGGACCCTCCAAGTTGGAGAGAAGCTAGGGCTCCTCCCCCATTTCCCTGCCTATAATCCCAGCCTCCAAGATGGTCCCCAGGCTACAGGGCAAACTTCTAGATCCCTACCTCTGGTGAATTTTTCACTTTGCTCTGGGCTCCACTCTGAAGTGTCTCCCTTTCTCTTCTCAGCCTGTTCAAGCTGCTCCTGTGCTTCAGGCCCGGGCTTGGGTCTCTCCTCAGTCCCTTGCCCCTGATGCAGCCCTTTCTGGAATGCCCTCCTCTTTCTCTACCTCTCCACATCTTTCTTGTCCTTCAAGATCCAACTCAGAGTCTTCTTCCCAGAAGGCGTCTGCAAGGGTCTCTGACTTCAACCAGCCAGGCCACCTGTATGCCTCCATTTACCCTTCTGTCCCCTCTTCCTGTCTTCTTTCCCTGCCCTCATGGCTGGCTTGGGAGGGTGTAATAGAATGCAGGGTGGCCACGGTAGCAAAGCTCTTAACAGTGGCTTAAACCAGTGGAAACCAACCAGAAAGTTGATTTGTCTAGGAATATTTGGCCATCAGCAGGCCAGGCAATGCAGGGGCCTCCTGGCATTGAGATCTAGATTCCTTGATCTTGCAGCTACCGGGTCCACATTTCAGGCAGCCCAGCTGGTGGAGGAGGCAGGGAAGGAGGACATGACCTCCCCTTTTAGAGCACAGGAATGAGACCACCTCACTTACTTCTAACAGGCTGGAATGGAGTCACATGATCACACTGTCTCCAGTAGGACTGGGAAGGGTAGTCTCTCTTCTGGCAGCCACGTGTCCCATTGAAAATTCTCAGTAGAGAATCATAGGGCAGATAGGGGAGCTAGGAGGTGCAGGGGGAGACTTTTGGCAATGTCAAGAGACATTTTTGGTTGTTACAACTTGGGGATGCTGCTACTATCTAGTGGGGTGAGAAGCCCTGACTCGGGGGAAAGTGTGCATGCCCGGGAGTTGAACACGCCTGATGTCTAACCCTGAAGCCTACACACCCTCACTGCACATCTCAGTGATGAATCGGAGTCACATCACCTCACAGATAAATACAGACATCTCTGCATTGTGTAAGAACCAATTCAGTCCTACATATGCTGAGAGCCTAGCACGTGCTGTGTGCGCTGTGAACACTCAACACTTGGAAACGCCCTTTTCTCTTTCCAGGCAAAGAGTTATTTGCCCCTACTATGGGAGGAAGTGGCTTAGTCTGGATGATTTCGTTATAACAAACAGAAAAACAGCTTGAACTAAGTCAAAGAGGACACTGATTTCGTCTGAGAATCAAATAAATTATTATATTACCAGACATTAGAGGGTAGGTAAAGTAGGCTGAGTAAGTCCCCCTCCCAGATATCCATGCCCTAATCTCTAGAACCTCTGGATGTTACTTTATGTGGCCAAAAAAAGTGGGGGAGGGGACTTTGCAGGTGTGATTAAATTAAGAATCGTACAATGAGAGGCTATCCAGGCCCTAGCAGAGATCACAAGCGACCTTATGAGAGAGAGACAAAGGGAGATTTGACATAGAAGAGGAGAAAGCAATGTGACCATAGAGGCAGAGACCGGAGTGATATACCCACAATTTAAGGAATGCCTGAAGCTCAAAGAAGCAAGGAATGGATTCTCCCCAGAGCCTCTGGAGGAAGCGTGGCCCTGCTGATACCTTCATTTCAGACTTCAAGCATTCAAAACTATGAGAGAATACATTTCTGTTGTTTTAAACCACCACGTTTGCGGTCATTTGTTACAGCATCCACAGGAAGCTAAGACAGCAGGGAAGCCTGGAGCTGGGCTCTACTTGGAGGTGAGCACTCATCTGTCCCTGCCAGCCCCTCACCCTGCAGGGCTCTGCATGAGCTGTTCTTGCCACCCTGCTAACTTCACCTACCCCCGTCCCTTAAGCTGACTCCACTCAGCACCCACCTGGGCCTGAGCGCACCACGTTCCCTAATTCCTCCTCTGCTTAAGTCATCAAGAGGCCTTTCTGGACCACTCTGCCCAAAACAGCATGCCCACCACTCTCATTTCCTACTGAAGTGTTCTTCACAGCACTCACTGCCACCTGGAAAACAATGTGCATGCGTGTGCACGTGTGTATGTGTGTGTGTCTTTGATGGTTGTTAGTTGTCCCCACTAGAATTTGAACTCCCTGAGGGCAGAAACCTCACGTTCTACCATTGTAGTCCCTCTCTTCAGTCCTAAAAAGCGGTTGGAGGCCATGCACCAGGCACGCGTCAGTGTGGTGAGAATAAGACACATGTGCTTCTCAGAGCTTTCCTCCTCCTGAGAGGAGACAGTGGTCAAGGAAACACATCTGGATAAGTCCTAGGGCACATGGTATTGAGTGCAGAGGATGCAGGGGGCTAGGGCAGAGTGAGAGGGCAGCGGTGCTTTTTTATTTAAGGAGGTCAAGTGGCCTCGTTGATAAAGTGACATTTCAACTGAGACATGAAGGGAATGAGAGAGGGAGACCACAGATATTGGGGAAGAGCTGAATAGGCAGGATGAACTGCAAGTGCAAGGGCCCTGTGACAGGAGTGTGCTTGGCACCTGAGGATGGCATCCCTGAGGGTTTGGTGTTGGGCTGGGGTGAGAGGAGGTGCCAGGTCTGGTCAAGCATAGTCCATCCTCCCCCAAGACACACAGCCTCTGAGTGCAGCTGTCTGTCACTGGGTAAGGGAACCGGGGAATGCCAGGCCTTATCGAGTGTGGAGTTACACATTTCTAAACTCTGTATATAAGTGACACTCTGTATAAGTGATGATACTTCGCATGACACAGGAACAGCAACTACCAAGCAGAACGCTTGGCACGTGTTAGACCCCTGCAAACATCTGAGAGATGTACAGGGTAGAGATTAAGTGCATAGTCTTGGAAATCTGGATGTGGAAGTTCAAATGTCAGTTCTCTTATCTCTTGGGTGAGTTTGTTTTGCTCGGTTCCCTTATCTGTAAACTGGTCATAACATTTAATATCTCCCTTATTAGGTGGTTTGAGGCTGAAATGCCCTAGTACATGTGCAGCATGACCTGTGCCTGGCACATAGGAAACACTGAGTATTTATTGATGATTATACTATGCTAGTATGCAAATTGTAACCATCATCCTCAGAGCACAGAACATGGCAGCCCGTGTGGTACCAGGGCCCTTCGTCCTGTGACGTCAGTCACCGGAGGACTCTCAACACCTCAAATTCAATTGGAAAGTTTTAGAGAGAGTTGGCCCTGCTTGGGTCAAATGACTTATGGGGACATGGTAGTGGCAGGGTGGGGGGGAGGAGAGAATGGAAGCAGCCCCCAAAAGAAGTGGAGGTGGTGCTGACAAGTAAGACCAAAAAAAGGTGAGTAACTCAGGGCCCATGGCGGGGACTCTGGAGCACCTACTTTGGACAGATGGAAAGGGTGGGGAATGAAAGGGAAGTGGAATTCCTCATGCAGCCCCCAGCTGCTACGGGGCTCAGGATGCTACACAAGCAAGACCACCAAAGACAGAGAAGGGGATGGACCACCAGGGCGCCACAGCCCCCACTATGGGCCTATGAGCCCCTCTCCTGTGTCTTGCTTGGGCCTCCAGACCTGAGTCATGGGAGGTCGCTGGCTGCACTCCAGGCCTCTCTGGATGGAGCAGCTGGACCTCTCCCTCCCCTCCTGGTTTCTCCTTCCTGCGGCTCTTCTTGATCACCTTCCTTCCTTCCCATGGCTTTTAGCCCATCCTCCTCCTCCCCCAAGGACCCCCATCCTGGGCACCCATGGCCCAGCCTCCATGACAGCTCCTTGCAAGAAATGGGTCTATTCACAACACTTTCCTCAGGCCTTGAGGGCATCGGACTCCCTCCTGCAGATAAGACCCAGAGCTGGAGGAAGAGCAGGGTCAAACACCACTCAGCAGGGGCTTCCTGTATCCTGACAGCCTGAGGATGGCAGCCCTGAGGGTTCAGTGTTGTACTGGGGTGAGAGGAGGTGCCGGGTCTGGTCAAGCATCCTTACCCCAAGACACACAGCTCAGTGCAGCTACCTGTCACTGGGTGGGGGAAGCGAGGGATGCCAGGCCTTGTAGAGTTACACATTTCTAAACTCTGTATAAAGGACTCTGTATAAAGGTACTTTTCCACACAGATCATTCTCAACCTTGCTTTTTGGTTCAACATTGAGATTTATCCAGGGTGGTTCCCTATGGCTCTAATTTAGTCAGTTTCATGGCTGTGTAGCATTCCATTGTATCAAAGTATTGTATTTGTGATTTCTTTTTTTTTTTTTTCTTTTTTTCTGAGTGGGAGTCTCATTCTGTCGCCAGACTGGAGTACAATGGCTGCTCCTGGCCACCGCAGCCTCGACCTGCTGGGCTCCAGTGATCCTTCCGCCTCAGCCTTCCAAGTAGCTGGAACTACAGGCGTGTGCTACTATGCCCGGCTAATTTTTTGATTGATTGTAGAGATGAGATCTTGCCAAGTTTCCCAGGCAGGTCTTGAACCCACGGGTTCAGGCAATCCACTCACCTCAGCCTCCCAAAGCGCGGGATTACAGGCTGAGCCACCGAGCCTGGCCATATCTATGGCTGGCTGGAGACCGAAGTTATTCCCGTTTCTCACTACTCCAAACAGACACCATTCCGTTGTGTCTCCTGGTGCACACACACACCACTACATCTTTAAAATAAAATAAAATTTAGAAAAATAAGAGGGCTGGGGTGGGAAGGAAGGTGAAGATGAGCCTGGAGGTGGCTGGGGATGAAACTCAGGGTGGACCTTGGAGAGTGGGGGGTGCATGGAGTATGGGGGATGGGGTTACAAGTGACAGTGAGACTAGGCAGGTCAGGAAGCGGTGGAGGGTCTGCGAGGTAGGGGTGAGGCTGGAGGTGGTAATGGTGGTGGAACTTGGGGATGGGCGTTGGGGTGTGGCTGGAAGTAGGAGGGGGGAGCTAGAACTGGGCCTTCAGCACCCAACCTCCCACCCCTAGTTTTGCTTCTCACCGTTTCCTTATCTGTAAACTGGTGATAACACTAGTACCTCCTGTACTAGGTACGTTGAGGCCGAAATGCCCTGGTGCATCTGCAGCATTAACTGTGCCTGGCACATGGGAGGTACTGAGTAATTATGATGGTTATACTATCCTGTCATGCAGTTATTATGCAGTTATGATCATACACTGTAGTCACCATTATCCACATGGCAGGGAGCCTGGCAGCCCCCAGCACCAGGGCCCCTCATCCTGTGACTTCAGCCACCAGAGGGCCCTACTCACCCCAGACTCAACTGGAAAAATCCTAGAGCGATTTTGTTAAGGACACTTAGATCATTGTTATGTAAATGTAGCTTCACGTTTGGGCCCTCACATCCCCTTCCCACCAAGTTGCCGCCCTAAAAACTCCCATCAGAGCATCTGGCGCTGCCTCCAGACACAGGAATTGACTAGCACGGTCCCGCAGGCCAAGGAGATACAGGGTGGTGCAGGGGTTAGGAACACAGACTCAGGAGCTGTGCGACACCTGGGTTCAGACTCATTTAGGAGACTGAATTTCCCTGTCTGTAAAATGAAAATGATATTAAGTGCTCAATAAGTATTAGCTACCAGGTAGTGTTATGGGGAAAGATGTCTCTGGAGTAGAACTCAAAGATCCCCTGGCCTAAGAAAGAGCTTTCCCCAGTGACACAAAAGTAAGAGGAGACAGGGAGGGGTGACGGGGAGGTTCAAAGACTCCAATAACCACCAAGGAGTTGGATCTCAGGAGCCAAATCACTCACTTATCTTTAAGCTGGGGTGAGTTGTTGTTAGTTTCCTGGGTGGAAAGACCTCACTGACAGCCAAGCATGACCATAGTCTAGAGTGACCCTCCTCCAGCCTCTTGGACTTTCTAGGAAGTTGGGGGGCATTTCAGGTTGACATAATGATGAAGGGGGCGGGCACTGGGGACCAGGGCTGGGACTGGGTGACCTTGCAATGGAGAGAAACCACAAAGAACAGTCCCTCCTCCCACCCGTCCCTCCAGGACCTAGTGGAAGCTGCAGACTGGCTCCTAATAACCTGAACCTAAACCTAACTCATGTGACATATTACACTTTTTTATTTTTTACAGTTTTAATATACACCAAATTTTCCAGGAAAGTAATTACTGTGTCAGTTGAGGGAAGAATGGATGTTGTGTTGTTTGTAACTTTACCAAGAAGGGTTTTGAATGAGTCTGGGGACCTTCTCAAGGCCTCCTTAGTGGACACCTTAACTGAGTTCTGAAGAATAGGGTGATGGCACAAGAGTAGGAGCTGGCAAAAGAAGGGAAAGGTATCCTGGGCAGGGTGGAGGAGGCAAGCATGCAAAGAAGCTAGGGACCTAAAAGACAGAATTGTGCCTGTGCCCTGGAGCCGAGGACTGAAGAAAGCTGAGAGCACACCGTGCCCATAGGTGAGGGAAAAGTGTTCCAGGCACAAAAGCTGCAAATGCAAAGGCTCTGAGGCACATGCATTCCTGGCACTTTCAGGCACAGCCAGAAGGGGAAAGGTGCCAGGAGCAGGGGAAGCTGGTGGAACCACAGGAGGTGGAGTGGAGGAGCTGACCTGCTTCGCATGGGGCTTGTAGCTCATAAGACTGTCTTTTACGGGAGTGAGATGGCGAGCCATGGAAGGGTTGTGAGCAGAAGAGTGATATGATCGAGGTCTGAATTTTTTCCCCCTAGAATAGAAGTAGCAAGAGGGCAGGGACTTTGTTTTGCCCCCTGCCGTATCCACAGCCCTGGAGAAGCGTCGGGCCATTGATAGTTCTCAGTAAGTGTTAGAACAAGTGAATGAATGAATGCATTAATTAATTGATGAAATGACAGTCGATGAGTAATTGTGAACCTGACTCCAGGGATCCTCCATCCCACAAGAGGGTGTAAGAACCGCCCACCTCATCCTTCTCCCGGCTCCCACCCCCGCCGTTAGGTTGCGGTCTGCGCTGCGGCCGCCTGAGGGCGCAGAGCGGCGGGGTTTCCCGCACGGAGGGCTTTGCGTGAGGCACCACGTGGGGCGGGGCCTGTGAGCCGGCTGCCGTCCGCCGGGCCGGTTCGACCGGCCAGCGG